CTTGCTCCTTGGGCTCGGGACTCCGGCCGGACTCACGCTCGGGCACGGCAGTCCCGTCGCCATCTCGGATCCCCCTCACATGCCAAATTCCTTACTCACTCTTCCTCTCAGTGACCTTCCCTTGGTGCGCACACTCTCCTCACACGACCTCCCCTCTCTCCCACGGACCTCCCGTATGCCCCAGCAACGCCATCCTCTTCTTCCCACGGCCTCCTCCGCGAACGCCTTCGCCATTCCGTCCTACACTCCACCTCTCCGCTCCGCCCAGCTACCTACGAACTACCTGGCCTCTGCAACCTGCAAATAACATCACAACTCACACAACACCTACACAACCAAATTTTTTACCGTACCTCCCGTTTCCATTTTCCTTCCTCTTGCCAATCGCACCGTTCGCCGTCCGCAGCCCTCTTCTCTCTCCCTTCTCGCTTCTCTCCACTCTGACTCCCCTCTCTCTCTCTCTTCTGGAACCTTCTTCCCTCTCTTCTTTCCTCATTCCCGCTCTCTTCCTTCCCTACTTTTTCCCTTTTCTTTTTTTTTTCTTCTTTCCTCCCCAACCCCCATTTATATCCTACCAGCTTACTCAAAACGACATCGTTTTTTCCCTCTTAAAACTACGTCGTTTTTTCTTCTTCAAAACGGCGTCATTTCCTCCAAACAATTTTTTTTTCTTTTCCCTTTTTCTGGTTATTACAGTAAAAAACAAGTTTTTATCGAGCCATTGTTTACGTTGAGTAGAAAATTTTAAAGATAAAAATTTATTTTTATATCAAAATTAAAAAAAGTAAAGGAAGAGGAAATGACGGAGACTTATCCTGTTGTTATACATACTCCATGAGGTTGATAGGCATATTCTCAATTAAAAGAAAGGGACAAGTCTCTCTATCAATGGCAATGGAATTTGGATTTGGATTTGAAGGTATAAAATTAATGGGAATGGTGACATGAAAACGAGGGTTTATTGAGAAAAGAGGTAAGAGTTTGTAGCGTGTAGACTTGGGGTTCCTCTCTTTGAAAGGTGTTTTTATATACAAAATTTGCGATTTTGAGGGCAAGAATATTTTGGTACAATGAAGTTATGAGTTATAATACTGTGTTTTAATGGAATGTTGACGTTTGTGCCACATGAATGGAAATTTTCTAGCCATGATTGTTGGGTTTTCTTTAGCCAGAAATGTGGAATTTAACTCGTTTGCTCATAAAGATATTTGTCATTTTTTTTCCCCTTCTTAATAATTGATTATTTTATTCTACCCCCAAAATTATGTAATTTTTTTACTGACATTTTTAGATTTATACTCTATTTAATTCAAAATTTTACTTTATAAATATTATTATTTACAATAAATTAAACAGAAAAAATAGTCAAACATAAAAAAGCAGTTGATACTGAGCCCTAATTGTGTGTGTGTGTGTGTGTATATATATACATATACTATGAAAAACCCTTAATAGATAAAACATGTTACTACACCAAATTGTACTTAAAAGTCAGGTTGATATTTTTGCAGATAATCTTTGGAGAAAAATGTTAAATGTTCAAAATTAATATAAAACAAAATATTATTTATTTATTTTTCAAATAAATAATTGTCACATGAAATTTAGCCTACAGTAGAAATTTGAAAAATACATGCAAGAAAAAGTATTTGATGTGAGTTCATCAATCAGTCACATTCATACACAATTTCCCCATTCCATAAGGTCTCCCTTTCACATTTTTTTTATTTTCATCTTTCCGTATATGATAACAAACTTGACCCCCCACTAGCCAAAAACAAAATTATGCCTTCCAAACTAATATATATTATGACATTAATTAAAGCAAAGTTGCAAACAGAGCTGAAAGAAGAAGAAATTACCTCTTGTTTCTAAGTCCAATATATTAACTTGCAATCTGCAGAAAAGGAGAAAGAAGGAACAGGGTAAGTAAAACACATTGTTCAGAATCTTGTCATTATTTACATGTATTACTTTAGTCTAAGAATCCAATCAATCTCTTCAGCAACCATTCTCTAACCCAAGTAATCTGATGTCATTTTAATTTAATAATAATACGTACGAATCCAATAAGGCAAAAAAGATTTTTTTAAAATAAATGAAAAGAAAGCCCCCATCAAGCCTATTAAGCACATTGAAAAGATTTTAGGTATATATATAGCCATCAGAAAATTGAAAGTGTCGGCAAGACATTTTCTCCTAACAACCGATGCCAATAAAGCTCCTCATATATTCGTTCTAGCATTTGACAAACGAGTTTCTAATGCATAACCAAGAGAAATATGAGAGATGAAACTGTTAGATAGTAAGACCTGCGGAAGAGATATAACTACGCAGTTGCTTTTTTGATAAAAATTGAACCTGAGTCAAAATTTCAAGTGGAAATCAAATAATGTATTTAAAAAAAAAAACTCCAGACTGAATATATCCTAATCATAGCATTAAAATAAATAAATATAAGAAGAGCAAGGAGAATAAAACACACACAACTAACGAAACCTAGACAAGATTAGTTGAATTCTGTAATTCCTTTGTTTTTCTTGTAGGCTAATAAGGCTATACCTATGACCAGTTGGAAACCATGTGGGCAAGTGTTTAAAAGAAAATATTTCCTCCCTAGCTTTTCTAATCCATAATAAGATCTAATCTTTGGCCCAATGGGATTTTCCAATACAACCTTGGCCCAAGGAGATTTGAGTTCCAAGTCCCTACCTTTCATTTAATTCACCATAAAAAAAAAAATAATAAAAAAGAGGACTGACAAACAAATTAAGACAAAATTTGTCTTGTTTGAAAGTGTAGGATAGTTGTAATTTTATAAATTATATTTAATTATACATATTTTTTATAAAATAAAAAATTGTAAAGTATGAAGTAACTGAGTACCAAAAGACACGGGTATTTATATTACCATCTACAAAAGTATTTATAAAGATGTTAGAATATCAGTCACGTTTTTAAAATTTAAATCACTAATAATGTTATAATTTAATAATACTAATCTAAAAATATGTATTCACCTTTTTTTTTAATCTAATTGATCTATTCCGAACACTATCAATCAAAAACTCTTCTACTCCTCTCTTTCCAAATGGCACAAGAAACAGTTTAATGGAATAATGTCCTACAATAATTTATTTTTACACACAAACTCTCCCAAGCTCCTATCTCTCCCCTAGAAGACCATAGATCAAGCACCATAATCTATAAGTTGTAGGACACCACAATCAATCAAATATGTATATTTAATTATACATATTAAAATTAATATGAGAATTAAAAATAAGAATTGACAAGGAATTGAACCAAATGCATCCTTGCTATTAATAAACTAATTCAAACTAGTAACTTCTCCGAGAAAAATGGAACATTTTGAAGACTTGAACTACCATCTGCGTGCTAGAGCTATCAGTTATCCTCCAAGCGATCACCCCAAACAAACGAAAATCAGAGTTAAGATTACAAAATCAATTCTCTTTGAACTGTTTGAAAAAATGTCACCAAAAACAGACCGATAATTGGGCTGGCTCACAGCAAATATAGATCCCGAGACAACCAGAGACCGAAAAACAACTACAGTAACTTTCATTTTTTTGAAAGAAAAAGGATAAGGAATATGCATAAACAAGACGCCAAAAAGATGCCACTCGTATACAAGAGAAACTACAGTAACTAATAAGAAAGCAACAGACAGAAACACCACCAGTTGTTCTTGCATATTAAGATAATCAACAGATTTCCAATTCTGTGTTTAAACTGAATCCTGATTTCAATTAGTTTACATTTGGTTTTATTAAGTCTAGCAGAAAATAGAAATTTAGTTATCGTAGTGTGGGTTTAGAATTTATGACAAGTTACTGCAGGCTTTCCATTTGTATTTAATCCACAGAAAATAATAAATAAATATATATACTTGGGGAATGGAATTTTAGAAGGATAATGGAAAAGAAAAGTTACTAGACAGGGGAATTAAAGACTCATCACAAATTTATACTTGATTCAATTGCTTAAACTGACTAAATTTGGATATACAACAGAAAACTGAAGACCATAGGCAGATAAAATGATGATCAAATAGATACCTAGACATAATTGGTGCTGATACAATACCAATGGACCAAAAGAGCCCATCATGCAGTTCCGATGACACGAACATGAAATGGAGGACCACGACAGAATATTGGTTCATCAGAACAATCAGTTCTCGCTCGTGCCCTAAGAACGTCATTAGCCTCCTCAATCACCGCCGCAGCTACCATTGTGTATTCACCCGGTACAAGGAAGTATAAAGAGAAAGGATGCCTGGTCTCTTGAAGTGGGGGAACCTCCATCATGATTCCACTCAAAGCACCTAACAATTATATTACAGATTATGAAATTGACATGCTATTAAATTTACAGTTTGCAGCAACGGTGAAGGAAGAGATACTTACATATGGACTCTAACTATTCAGTTCAATTACCATTCAGTCTTTTTCTAATTTTCATAATAAACACGCATAATTAGAACATAATTAGTTGTGTTTAAGTTTATACCAGTTCACATTGAATTGCGTAATGGTGAGAATTCAATTCCTAGCTTTCAAGGTGGGTGCTGAACTCCCAAAATAAAGAAAATGAAGATGAGGAAGTAGTAACTCAAACACAACAGATTATATTTTAATTAAGACTGTTATTAGTATAAGCATTAGAAATTGATTAGGAATTGAATAAGACATTCCATATAGGTGGAGAATTCTATGCGACATTCTACCTTAAAAAATTGATTAGAGATTTTTCTTATTGAAATGGGGAGACAACAGAAAATATTAAACGAAAAAGTTAGTTAAAGATATATGAGAAACTTACCAGACCACAGGACAGTTGCTTTGGCACCCTCTACGCAATTCTCTCCAGCGACATCTCTGCAAGTAATACTGAGATTCAACTTGATCATTTCCTTAGTATTATTACAAACAAGAACTTCCATTGGAGTCATGTCATGTGCCAGCACAGAACCTTTAGACCCAGAGGAAATAGGCTCTACATTAGATTCTCTTGGAAAATCAACTTTTGAGACATGTCTATTGTTCCTAACAAGCCTAAAACCAAACGTCAATGGATCTGGAAGCAATACATCCAAAACAGATGTCTGAAGGGCTGCCTGTATAGCATCCTTAATATTTAGTTCTCCATAGCTGTTCCGTCCTGACTGCCACCTGACTTTTATTCTGGATATCAGGTTCTTAATTGATGCATTCAGTTCAGCCTTGGTATTTTTCTCTGAGAAGTTGTAGTTCCTGCCACTGATAGTCCCATCAGAACGAAAATCCTTCACAAAAAAGGAACCATCAAGGATGGGCAACTTAAAATGCTCCAAGGGTATCAATACCCTAGCAGATAATCCCTGTCAATTCTCGTCTAGATATCAATTCAGTAGCGTGTGGTCGACATGAGTATCATCTCGCAGATTTCCAGTG